CCGGCCCCGTCGCCCAGCCAGCCCCGTTGCCTAGTCGGCCCCGTAGCCCAGCCGGCTCCGTCGCCTAGCCGGCCCCGTCGCCTAGCCCGCCCCGTCTCCCAGCCGGCCTCGTCGCCCAGCCGGCCCCGTCGCCCAGCCGGCCTCGTCGCCCAGCCGGCCTCGTCGCCCAGCCGGCCCAGTCGCCTAGCCGGCCCCGTCGCCTAGCCGGCCCTGTCGCCTAGCCAGCCCTGTCGCCCAGCCGGCCCCGTTGCCTAGCCGGTCCCATCCCCTCGCCGCCACGCGGCCCCTGTTGACCAGCCGCCCTGCGGCCTCGCCACCCAGCCTCCTCGCGGCCCCGTCCCTCAGCTGCCCCTGCGGCTCCCACCTCGCTTCATTGGCCCTTTTCCACCACGTTGCACAGCACTCCACTGCCCTGCATCGCACTGCACTGCCCTGCACCGCCCTGCACCGCACCCTACCGTACTGCACCTCCCTCTACCGCAGTCTACTGCACTGCACCGCACCGCACTCACACCACTGCTTTCCGCCGCGCTCAGTCGCTCCGTACAACTCACTACCATCTTTCTGTTGCTGCAGCGACCAGATGGCAGACTCGGTGCTGCGCTTTGACACGGAGGGCCAGCCGGTTGAGTTCGACACATGGCTTGTTGACCTCCGCCGTCACCTCACTGGTCAGCGGCAGGACGGCCACTCCCTAGCCATCCACAATGACGGTACGCTCCTCTGCCCTGACCCCCCTGCTGCTCTACCCGCTGACCCTTCGTCTGCTGACTGTGAGGCCACCGCCGCTGTTGCCCTTGCCCGTGCTATCTGGCTGTCGCGTGACGCCGTCGCTCAGCTTGCGATTAGCCATGCCCTATCGGAGTGTCCCAGCTTTAAGTCGGTCATGACTGTGCAGGAGTTCTTAGAGGTTGTTGACGAGCGTTATTCCACCCCGTCCTCTGCCTCTGCCAGCCGCCTGATCCTTCCCATGCTCTTTCCTGATCTCGCATCTTTCCCCATTGTCGCTGACCTGGCCACGCACCTGCGCACGCTAGACGCTAGATGGCGCGCTGCCTACACACAAGCCCAGCTCTGTGTGTTCCAGCCCCCTATCTGCTCTACCCTTTACTTGCCTGCCACCCGCCTCCCCGACCGCCTTGCCACTGCCCGCGACCACTTACTTAGTCTGCACCCCGCTGGCCTCACCCTCTCCGACTTTGTCGACACACTGTCTGCCAAAGAGACCCGTCAGCACCATATAACACAGCAGCATCACCAACACTAGTAGCAACAGCAACAACAGCAGCAGCAGCAACAGCAACATCAACAGCAGTACCAGGAGCACCAGCAGCAGCAGCAACAACAGCAGGCTTTAGGTACTGCACCAACAAGCGCTCAGGTGTCTCCACGATTGGCCAGCACGGGCGGCAACCAGCTGCTGCCAGGCCACTACCAGATCGGAGGGCCACGCCTGCACTCCTCCCCTCTCATGGGTCCGCGGGCCTCACTCCACGCCTCAACGCCCAACCACGCCTCAACGCCCAGCCACGCCTCAACGCCCATTCATGGCCCTCGCCCCGCCCTCCATGCGTCTACCCCCACCCATGGCCCTGTGTTCCTGCATGTGTCCATGCCTGGGCACTCCCCACTTCAGCCGTCAAAACTATCAGGAGGAGCCCCTCCCTCTCCTTTCCTGCAAGTGCCGAGGCATTCAGGGCCCGTTCCCTCTCCGTCTCCCTCGCCATCTCTACACTCTGTGAAGCGCGGTTGCTGATGATGCTGCTGCTGCAGCCACAGCTGGAGGCATGCGCACAGGGAAAGGAGGAGAGGGTAGAGGTGGTACTGAGGCGAGCTTAGGCACTGCAAGGCCGTCTCCCAATGTAAGTCCATGATGAAGCAACATGGTGTTTCATGCTGACTTTTGAGTCGACTAAAAAATCAGCTTGTAGGCACTGCAAGACCGTCTCCCAATGTAAGCCCTTCAGGCAACGCAATGTTTCGTTCGGCCCTTCTTTTGCCCCTGCTTTCAGAATCTGCCCTCCCCGCTCAAAAGGCATCTGCCCTGTACTGATTGTATCCGTTGACTTTTGAATCGACTCAAAAGGCATCTGCCCTGTACTGATTACCCGTTGACTTTTGAGTCGACTCTAAAGGCATCTGCCCAGTACTGATTGTAACCGTTGACTTTTGAGTCGACTCAAAAGGCATCTGCCCTGTACTGACTGTACCCATTTGGTTGTGTGCCCCCCCTCCCCTCCTCCTTTATCTTTTTCCCCTGCCTTCGCCTGCAGTGCGTGCTGCAGCCTCCTTTCAGCCAATCCGAGTGTGGGGGGGGGTGACAATACTCCTGCCGTGGTCTCTCCCCCGGGGCCTGCGATGCTGCTGCAATCAAACTGGCAACCGTCTCCTGTGCAAGTGGGAGCAACAGCGGCACCCATTCATAGACACTTGAGATGAGCCAGCTGAAGAAACCATCTCACTAGTGTGAGCCTCATTATAAATATAAATGGTTGGCATCAGAACACAGCACTCTTTTTCTGTTACAATGGCCTTGCTGCCATGACAGTCAGGCTGACCCCTGCTGATTTGAACCCACGGGTTTTCACACGCTGATTCCTTATTCACCGCATTGATTCAAATCTGAAACACAACCTGTCACACATGCTGCTCCTAGGTACACTGGTGCTGGATTTCCCCCTTCCTGAGAATTGCTGCTGCAATTCAGCCCCATGGGCCAACACAGCCCCGCCCGTGGCCTCGTTGCCCCGCCACCTAGCGGCTAGCCACCCCGCTGGCCGCGCGGCCCCGTCACCTAGCGCCTAGCCGCCCGTGGCCCCGTTGCCCCGCCACCTAGCGCCTAGCCGCCCCGCTGGCCCCGCGGCCCCGTCATCTAGCGCCTAGCCGCCCGTGGCCCCGTCGCCCAGTGCCTAGCCGCCCGTGGCCCCGTCGCCCAGTGCCTAGCCGCCCCGCTAGCCCCGCAGCCCCGTCACCTAGGCCTAGTCGCCCGTGGTGCCGTCGCCCTGTCACCCAGCGCCTAGCCGTCCTGCTGGCCCCGCGGCCGCGTCGCCCCTAGCGTAGCCGCCCTGCTGCCCCGTCACCTTGCCGCCCCGTGGCCTCGTCGCCCAGCCGCCCCGCGGCCTCGTCGCCCAGCCGCCCCGCGACCTCGTCGCCCAGCTGCTCCGCAGCCCCGTCGCCCAGCCGCCCTGTGGCCTCGTCGCCCCGTTGCTCCGCGGCCCCGTCGCCCAGCCCCCCCGCGGCCTCGTCGCCCCACTGCTCCACGGCCCCATTGCCCAGCTGCCTCGCAACCTCGTTGCCCCGCTGCTCCATGGCCCCGTCGCCCAGCCGCCCCGCGGCCTCGTCACCCAGCCTCCCCGCAACCCCGTCTCCCAGCTGCTCAGCCGCCGCCTTTCCTGGCCCTCGCTCGCTAAACTGGCCCTCTCCACCATCATGTTGCACCGCGCCCCACCATGTTGCACCGCTCAGCATCGCACTGCACCGTATTGCACCGCTCCCCACTGTACTGCACCGCACCCCACCTCACTGCACCGCACTGCACCGCGCCCCACCGCACTGCAACGCTCTGCACCGCGTGGCACCGCGCTGCACGGCGCCTCACCGCATTGCACCACTCTGCACCGCGTGGCACTGCACTACACCGCACTCCACCGCACTACACCGTACAACTCTGCTCCTCGTCGCTCCGTCCCCCCCTTCACCGCCTGTTCGCGGCTGCAGCGGCCTTCATGACGAACTCGGTGCTGCGCTTTGACATGGAGGGTCAGCCGGTTGAGTTCGACACATGGCTCTTCGACCTCCGCCGTCACCTCACTGGTCAGCGGCAAGACGGCCACTCCCTGGCCGTCCACATTGACGGTATGCTCCCCTTCCCTGACCCCCCTGCTGCTCTCCCTACTGACCCTACGTCTGCTGACCGTGAGTCCGCCGCCATTGCTGCCCTTGCCCGTGCTGTCTGACTGTCACGTGACGCTGTCGCTCAGCTCGCAATTAGCCATGCCCTTCCCCTGTCGGAGTGCCCCTGCTTTAAGTCGGTCAGGACTGCGCAGGAGTTCCTAGAGGCTGTTGTCGAGCATTATTCCACCCCGTCCTCTGCCTGTACCGGCCGCCTGATCCTTCCCATGCTCTTCCCAGATCTCGCGTCTTTCCCCACTGTCGCTGACCTGGCCACGCACCTGCGCACGCTCGACACAAGCTGGCGCGCCGCCTGCACTGAGGCACAGCCTCGTGTGTTCCAGCCCCCTATCTGCTCTACCATGTACTGGCTTGCCACCCGTCTCCCTGACCGCCTTGCCACTGCCCGCGACCACTTTCTAAGTTTGCACCTTGCTGACCTCACCCTCTCTGACTTTGTCCAGACCCTGTCTGCCGTAGAGATCCGTCAGCGCTCTATCGCCCAGTCTAACGGTACTGCGCTGGTCCCTATGTTCAGGGTTGTGCTCCCGTCCAGTGCACTTACTCTGACAGTTCTGCGGCTGTAGTTGAGACAGCCCCTGCTGCTGAGACCGCTGCCGCGGTGGCAGCAGCGCAGTTCCATTATGGTAAGGCTCGCCGCCCCAAGGCTGGGCGCGGCGGGGGTAGTGGAGGAGGGGGTGGAGGTGGTGGTGGAGGTGGTTCATCCGCTGGCGGGGTAGTACAGACGAGGGGGCTGGGGCTGGTGCCTCGGAGCACCAGCCCCAGCGGGAGCAGCAGCAGGCGTCACAGCTTGACCAGCCGCAGCAGCAGTCGCGGCGGAAGATCGGCCGCCTCCCACCTTGGTGGCCTGGCGCCGGTGGAGGTGGTGGTGGTGGTCGCGGTGGTCGTGAGCGTAGCTCATTGTCGGGTGGTGGTGCGAGTGACGGGCGCTGTCAGTACCAGCTCCAGACCAGTCCTCGACGTGGCCTCCTTTGCGATAAGATGGTCACACCCCCACTCGTTGTTTTAGTCGCCTGGACGACCTGTTTTGTCTCCGCTTCGGCCCCGCGCCGGTCTGGCACAGTCTGCTCCGCCATGGTGTTAGGTTCGTTGATATGGACATGGGTGAGATTAGCTCTGCATTGTATGTGCGGTATGTCGATGACTCTTGTGTGATTGGTTCCTATTACCACGTGTTGCCTAGTGTATGTGTGCCCAGTGTGCCTAGTTTAGGCTCCCCTACTCCGTCGGGCGTAGGACCCTCCGCTTGTTTAGCCTTGGCTCCACCCTAGCTCCTCCGCCCTCATCCGCCACTGCCGCACTCTCCTTCACTCTCGACTCTGGCGCGTCTCGGTGTTTCTTTCGGGACCACACTCCACTTACGCCGCTTGCCCTCCCTGCCGCTGTTGCCCTTGAAGACCCTTCCTCAAGTCCGGTAGTCGCCCGCAGTTCCACTAGCCTTCCCTGTCTGGCGGTTCCTTCGGGCTCGCTTACAGGCCTGCACATCCCCTCGTTCTCTAGGAACCTAGTTGGTGTCGGCTGTCTTCAGGACCTCGGCATCACCACTACGTTCCCGGGTCACGAGAGGTATGCTGTCTATACCAAGACCGCCACTGGTGCCCCCCTCACCACGTTTTCCCGGGACCCGGTGTCTGGCCTATTCACGCTGGACACCACGTCCCCCCTTGTTGGGACGTCCCTACAGGTGGCAGCGTCTACCTAGGTTGCTGTGGCTTGCTCGTGTCGGTCGCTCACTCACCCGTCACTGCTGTGTATCAAGAGCGCTACTTCCTGGTGCTTGTCGATGACTGCACGCGCTATACCACGATGTTTCCCCTGGAGCGGAAGGCCGACGTGCCTGAAGTTCTTATCCCATGGGTCGTAGCTGCGCGTGTCCACCGAGGTCTCTCCATACAGTGTCTCCACTCCTACCGTGGCAGCGAGTTTGCCTCCGCTCAGCTTGGCCAGTTCTGTCGTGCGGAGAGCATCGCCCCGTCGTACACCCTGCCGGACTCCCCGCAGCAGAATGGGGTCGCTTAGCGACGCATCAGCTTGGTCATGGAGGTGGCTCGTACCTCCATGATCCATGCCGGTGCGCCCCATTTTCTGTGGCCGTTCACCGTTCGCTACGCTGCTCACCAACTTAACCTCTGGCCGCGCTCCAAGCGGCTGCAGGTTTCCCCCACCCTCCTCTGGACTAGGTCCCCTGGTGACGCGTCTGCGTTCCACGTCTGGGGATGCCTCACTCACGTTCATGCCTCTGGCACGGACAAGCTTATTGCCCATACTGTTCCCTGTGTCTTCCTTGGTTTCCCCCTCGACTCGTCTGAATGGCACTTCTACCACCCGCTGTCCCACCGCTTCCGTCACTCGCGTGACGTTACTTTCGACGAGGCTGTCTCCTTTTACCGTCGCTTTCCCCATCGTTGTCCCCCAGTTTCCCCACCCCTGTTCTTGGTTCCCACTCCCCCGGTAGCTCTTCCTCCTTTCCCTCCCCGTCCTGCCTCGTCTGGTGTGTCTCACGTCACTCCCCTGCCGTCGCTTGTCCAGTTTGAGGAGTCGGCTGACTCTGGTGGCTGCGCGGCGCAGTCCTCTTCTCTGTTATCGCAGTCGCCGCTGCAACCGTCGTCGCAGTCGCCGCTGTGATTGGAAATGCGGGTCGGAGTCGGAGGGGGGAGGGGATTGGAAAGGCGGGTCTTACTGTGACCTCCCCCTCGTTGTCTCCTTGGGAGCTCATACACATTGGGGACTCCATAGTGCTGCATTGCCTGGTTAGGAGGGGGGGAGAAGGGGAGGTGGGAAGATGGGACAGCAGGAGAATTGGAGGGCCGAGTCTTATTGCGATCCCCCCCTCCACGGCGCCTCATATTGAGGCGCTCATAGGCATTGGGAACTCCGTGGCGCCGCATGAGCTGGTAATCTGGGGAAAAGTGTGGGGAGTGGGAAGGGGGAAGGAAGGAATAGAAGGAAGACTGGGGGATGGTCTCGCTGGGAGTCTGTTTTTGAGGTGCCTCAAAAACAACGTGGGGAGAGGGACGGGGGGAAGGGGGGAGTATCAAGAGGATTGGGGGATTGTCTCATTGGGTTGGGATTCCCACACACACACGTCCCCCCCCCCCTCCCTATCACAGCAAACTATCTGGATAAGCATGGGCTCGGCCAGCAACTCCATCCCACGCGGCGTTCAGGTCCGCGGCAATACTGACACAGATACAGGTCCAGCCACTATAGAGCAGGCTCTAAAGTCTCTCCTCCCTTCGATACCCCTACCCTCTCTCCCTCGTACACCTCAATCACTCACGGTCTGGATGGGCTCTGCCAGCACCTCCCATGAAGCATCCAGGCCCGCTTCGTATCAACAAGCATCCAGGCCCGCTTCGTATCATCAAGCATCCAAGCCCGCTTCGTATCATCAAGCATCCAGGCCCGCTTCGTATCATCAAGCATCTCCCCAGAGTCTCCTCCCCGTGCCCCACTGCCACGCTCATCCCCCCTCTCCACAAGTGAGGAGTCTGTTCTTCCTACTTGCTAACCCGTCTACTGACGCCGCGCTCACTGGAAGATGTCCAAGGATCTCCTCCCCGTGCCCCACTGCCACGCTCATCCCCCCTCTCCACAAGTGAGGAGTCTGTTCTTCCTACTTGATAACCCGTCTACTGACGCCGCGCTCACTGGAAGATGTCCAAGGATCTCCTCCCCGTGCCCCACTGCCACCCTCATCCCGCCTCTCCACAACCCTGTCTTCCCCCTCAGCACTCACAGTCTGAATGGGCTCTGCCAGCACCTCCCACGCGTCGTTGAGGTCCGCCTCGATCTTCACCGCATCCAGATCCAGCTTCCTCAGCCCCTTGGCCGTGCTGCTGTAGGAAATGAGCGAGTGAGCCAGCCCCACACCCAGGTTGCGGAGGACAGTTGAGTCGGTGAGGTCCCTCTGAGAAATGGGAGAGGCGAGTCGAAGTCAAGGGTGGGAGGAGAGAAGCAAGGGTCAGTTCAGATCCAGGTTTGGGAGCACCTTGGCCGTGCTGCTGTATGGTATGACGGCATGCGCCAGCCCCACGCCCAGGTTGCGCAGCACCGTTGAGTCTGTCAAGTCTCGCTGGGGAGAGGGAGGGAAGAGGGAGGGAGGGAGGGAGGGAGGGGAGGAGGGAGTGCGCTATGAGGGCGTGCGCCAGCCCCACGCCCAGACAGAGCAGCAGCGTTGAGTCTGTCAGGTCATGCTGGGGAGAGGAGAGAATGGAGATACAAGAGGGGGGTTGAGGGGGAGAGGCAGAGCGAGATAGCATTTTCCCATCCGTATTCACTCCCCCCACCCAACCAGTGCCAAACCAACAACATCCAGCCAGGCCCCCCCTACCAGCACCAAGCCAGCTCTCTATCATACCCCCTACCAGCACCAAGCCAGCTCTCTATCATGCCCCCTACCAGCACCAAACCAGCTGTCTATCATACCCCCTACCAGCACCAAACCAGCTCTCTCTTATACCCCCTACCAGCACCAAACCAGCTCTCTATCATACCCCATACCAGCACCAAACCAGCTCTCTATCATACCCCCTACCAGCACCAAACCAGCTCTCTATCATACCCCCTACCAGCACCAAGCCAGCTCTCTATCATACCCCCTACCAGCACCAAGCCAGCTCTCTATCATACCCCCTACCAGCACCAAGCCAGCTTTCTATCATACCCCCTACCAGCACCAAGCCAGCTCTCTATCATACCCCTTACCAGCACCAAACCAGCTCTCTATCATACCCCCTACCAGCACCAAACCAGCTCTCTATCATACCCCCTACCAGCACCAAACCAGCTCTCTATCATACCCCCTACCAGCACCAAACCAGCTCTCTATCATACCCCCTACCAGCACCAAACCAGCTCTCTATCATACCCCCTACCAGCACCAAGCCAGCTCTCTATCATACCCCCTACCAGCACCAAACCAGCTCTCTATCATGCCCCCTACCAGCACCAAGCCAGCTCTCTATCATACCCCCTACCAGCACCAAACCAGCTCTCTATCATACCCCCTACCAGCACCAAACCAGCTCTCTATCATACCCCCTACCAGCATCAAGCCAGCTCTCTATCATACCCCCTACCAGCACCAAACCAGCTCTCTATCATACCCCCTACCAGCACCTCAAGCACACCTGCCAGCAGGAGATGTGCAGCTTGGCGGACAGGTGCCCCATGATGGCAGCAATCCCAAGGTTGCCCTCGCTATTCTTGCACCATCCACTTCGGGACCTGCACTCACACCAGCCCCCACGCCCCCACCCCCCCCCCCCCCCCTTTTCAACACACCTGCCAGCGGGAGATGGGCAGCTTGGCCGACAGGTGTCCCATGATGGCGTTGGCGAGTCCCAGGTTACCCTCGCTGTTCTCAAAGTCGATGGGGTTGACCTTGTGGGGCATGGTGGACGATCCGATCTCGCCCTTTACTGGGCGCTGGTGGGAGGGGGAAGGGAAGGCAAACGGGATATGAGGAAAAGAGGGGTGAGATGGTTGCGACCAGCTGTTCTTGAAGAAGATGGAGTTGACCTTGTGGGGCGTGGTGGAGGAGCCGATCTTGCCCTTAACTGGGCGCTGGTGGGAGGGAGGGGAAAAGAAGGGCGCACAAGGGGAAAGTCTATTTTTGAGGCGCCTAGAAAATAGACTCCTCACGCATGGTGGGAGGGAGGGGAAAAGAAGGGCGCACAAGGGGAAAGGGAACAGGTGACATGCGCGTCCTCAAAGTCGATGGGGTTGACCGTGTGTGGCGAGGGGGAGGAGGCGATGTCGGCCTTCACAGGGTGCTGGTGGGAGGGCACGCGAAGACACAGAGGACACGGGCGGAAGAGGGGTGGGACGGTTGCAACCAGTTGCTCTCGAAGTCAATTTTTGAGGCGCCTCAAAAACAGTTGCTCTCAAAGTCAATTGGATTGACCGTGTGGGGAGGACCTTGTGCGGCGGACGGACCCAATCTCGTCCTTCACAGGGCGCTGCAAAAAAAAGGGGGGGTGGCGTGGGGAGGACGTTGGGGGGGTGGGAATGCGGACAAAAGGGTGCTGTCTTGGCTGATCCACCCCCCCCCCCCCCCCCCCCCCCCCCCCCCCCCCCCACTCAGCTGCCTTGGCTGATCCATTCCCCCCTCAACTCACCTGTCGGAAGTACCCTGGGGAGATGTACCCCCACAGGTCGCGGTCGAGATCGATGGTATGATATCTGAGTCACATACACACACAGTCGTCTCCCTCGCTCCTTCCCCCGAGCCCATCCCCCCCCCAGCTCACCTGTCGGAAGTACCCCAGGGAGATGTAGCCCCACAAATTCCGGTCGAGGTCGATGAGGATGGTGTTGAAGCGGCACACGGCGTCAAACAGCTCCGCCACGTAGTCATGCGGCTCGATCTGCGTCACATACGGGTTCAGCTGTAACCCCAGCCCAGTTACAAATTCCTCTGCAACGGCCGACCAATCGGCGTCTGGGTATGCCGCCACGTGCGCGTTGTAATTGCCGACCGCGCCGGCCATCTTGCCCAGGATCTGAACGGCGGATATCTGATCTCGCTGGGTTTGCAGCCGGGCGGCGAAGACGGCCAGCTCCTTGCCGACCGTTGTGGGGGAGGCGGTCTGGAGAAGAGGAGAGAATAGGGATAGGTGCAAAAGAAACAGGGGGATGAAACGCAGTCACATATTGCTATGCCTTGTATTTACAGGTGTGTTTCATGCATATGGCGACCCAAGCAAGAATCCCCTGAGAGCATGCATGGGCTGGTCGGCATAGGTGTGCGCCATGTCCTTGAGAGTGGCAATCAGCCCGTCCAAGGCCGGCAGCACCTCGCCCTGCACGGCGGCTGACACCATGAGCCCGTGCCCTTCCCCCCAGCCTGTGGGCACCACCCATCCCTACCTGGCCATGAGTGCGTGACAGCATGAGCTGGTCCGCGTAGGTGTGCGCCATGTCCTTAAGGGTCGAGATGAGCGCGTCCATGGCGGGCAGCACCTCGCCCTGCACGGCGGCTGACAGCATGAGCCCGTGCGAGAGGTTGTTGATGTCCTCCGACGTGCACGCGAAGTGGAAGAACTCCAGGATCTGGAGAGTGGGTGGTGGAGAGTGGGGGGGGGGAAGAAGAGCCAGGGAGTGGGGAGTGGGGAGTGGGGAGTGGGGAGGGGACGGGATGCGAGAGGCTGTTAATGTCCTCGGACGTGCATGCAAAGTGGAAGAACTCGAGGATCTGGGAAGTATTGAGGAACGGGGGGAAGGGGGGGGGGGGGGAGGGGTGGAGGAAGAGGGAATGGGGCAAGGGGAAAAGGGATGGAGGGGATGCGAGAGGTTGTTGATGTCCTCGGACGTGCATGCAAAGTGGACGAACTCGAGGATCTGAGAGGTATTGGGGGAGGGGGGAACGAGGGGGGGAGGAAGGTGGGGGGGAGGAAGGTGGGGGGGAGGAGGGTGGGGGGAGGAAGGTGGGGGGAGGAAGGTGGGAGGGAGGAAGGGGGGGGGAGGAAGGTGGGGGGGAGGAAGGTGGGGGGGAGGAAGGGGGGGGGAGAAAGGTGGGGAGGAGGAAGGTGGGGGGGAGGAAGGGGGGGGAAGGAAGGTGGGGGGAGAAAGGTGGGGGGGAGGAAGGGGGGGGGGAGGAAGGTGGGGGGAGGAAGGTGAGGGGGAGGAAGGTGGGGGGGAGGAAGGTGGGGGGGAGGAGGGGGGGTGGAGGAAGAGGGAATGGGGCAAGGGGGAAAGGGATGGAGGGATGGGAGAGGCGGTTAATGCCATGTGGGTCTGGAAGCATGCCAAGTGGAGGAACTCGAGAATGAGGAGGGGAGCGAGTGATGGGTGTGTCGCTGGGGTGTGCCCCTCAAACAACGCACCAGGCTAATCCCTGGGTGCATTTCCCCGAGTCTTGACGCGCTCCTCGGGGACATACTCCCACCCACCCACCCACCTATCCACCCACCCACCCAACCTCCCACCCACCCTCCCACCCACCCATGCACGCAACAGCGTACTGTCATGTCAACCCCATGTATCCCCCTCGCCCAAACCCCATGTATCCCCCTCGCTCCACTATCTGCCTCCCTCTATGCGCCCTTGCTGCAACTCACCGGGGCGATCTCGGGGTGCGCCTTGAACCTGTCCTTGAGGAAGTACTCGACGGCCTTCACATCGTGGTTCGTCACTGCCTCCACCCGCTTCACCTCCCTTGCATCTGCCTCGCTGAACCCTGCACACGTCAGCATCCAGGTCATCATCCAGGTCAGCATTCAGGTCATCATCCAGGTCAGCATCCAGGTCAGCATCCAGGTCAGCATCCAGGTCAGCATCCAGGACAGCATCCAGGTCAGCATCCAGGTCAGCATCCAGGTCAGCATGCACACGCACAGGGTCAGTCAGGCCACTGCAGCATCGGCTGCCCCAACCATCCTCACTTGTCAGCTAAAGCCAAGACAAGAAAGGCCACTACGTTAAGCAGGAGCTAAACTCCGCAACACCCCCCACCCACTCCCCCCCTGGCCGTGACCGCCGCCACATTCTGCAGCCAGAACCACCCTTCCGCCCCGCCTTCCCATTGCGCTTGCCCCTTTTGAGGCGCCTCGAACCTTGAAGCTTGTCTCATAACATTTTAGGCGCCGCCCTCCCAGTGCTCCTGCCACTCCTTCCTCCCTTACTCACCTGCCACAACAGCGTCCAGGTCAGCATGCGCCTGGGGGGAGAGTGGTGGAACCTCCGCCATCTCTGGCATGCGCGACAGCTGCTGCAGCCACCACACCTGGCGCGACGGGGGGGGGGAGGGGGGGGGGGAGGGGGGGGGGGGAGGAGGGGAGTGGGGGAGGGAGAGAAGGTCGGGGATGAGGGTTCAGGGTTTAGGGAGGAATGATGGAAAAATATTGGGAGGGGCGGAATGGGGTCCCAGTTGATAGCGCAGCTTATGGGGAGGGGGGGAATAGGGAGGAATAGGCGGGCGGGAAGGGGAGGTGGGGAGGGGGAAGGAGGAAGGGGGGGGAAACGAGGGGGGAATGGGGAAACGGGGGGGGTGGAATGGGCAGAGAATTACTGCGCCATGACCAATACGCGTTCAATCTCTCACTCCCTCTGTACGTGTTACAACCGCGCCCATTGCTTCTCACTCTCCCCGCGCTGTAATTACATACCTCCCCAAGAACGCGGAATCGAATGAGTCCGTATTCGCTGAAGATTCGCCTCAACCGCTGCAACGCGGGCAGCTGCCCGTAGCGCCCGTCAACGGGGGAGATGGCGGACAGATGCGACAGGGGGAGCGCCTCCTCCTCCTCCGCCCCTGCGGCCCCCGCAGCCCCCGCCTGCTGCGCGCGCGGCTCCGCGGATTGCGGAACGGCGGAGGGCGGAGCGGCATTGCGCGCTTGGCGGGGTTTTCCCCCGCTGCTGCTGGCGGTGGCAGTGACTGTAACGCGGGTGCGTAATGGGAATACGGGGATTGAGGTTGGTCGAACTGTGACTGTATCGCGGGAGGAAGTGTAGGAGCGAAGGGACGGCGCGCTTGTGAGAAGCTGGCGGGAGAAAGGGCCTCCATTGTGGGAGGTTCTTATAACGGGGTAAGGGACGGGACGTAAGTTAGTGAATGGACAATGCGGTTCTTGCCGAGCACGGAAGGAAAGAGGAAAATCTGGAACAAAGGTATTTATTCCTTGTTCCTTGCGTCGTCTTGTATCGCGTATTGCAGAATCTGTGTGTTGGTTTGGACGCAAATGTTAGGGAAGTTTTGGTGAAAAATGCAGTACGCGACTTTTACAACGGGTGCTTCTAACGCGTATCACGGTGCGCACGTGGCAGCCTGAGAGAGTTTCAGAGTTGCCGTGGCACCGCGCGATCCCTTCCTCTCGTCCACGACTTCGCCAATCAACGCCCGTGTATTTATGACATGGCCTGTTTCTATTGGCTGAATCCCTTGGGCTTGTTACACGTACTAATTTCTTTCGGGTATCAAGACATGTACTAGAACAACAACAACAAAAACTGGAATTTGCAGGTACAATTAAGGAATGTCCCGCGTGTACGTTTATTGCTCAATACCGTACTCAACCGTTTCAGAACGTTTTGCAAAGTTTTTGAATCAAAACGCATCACACCCAACCGCAATCAAACGTACGCGCGGGACACGCCCTCAGCACTTATCGACGTAAGTCTTTCCGCTGAGTTACGGATATTAGTTTCTGACGTGAAGTCATTCGCAGCGCCTCAGAACTCCAGTACTTTCCACGATCGCCATGGCTGCTGCGACTTTCTCCTCCGTGCGCACCGCACATCTCCGACTATCGCGCACAGTCGTCGCGCGGACGGCCTTGTGCCGCCCGGCATGCGCGGTGGCTGCTGGCGGCGCGTGCGGGCCGGCGGCGCCGCGTCGGATTGCTGCTGCTCCTTCTACTAGCTGCTCCGACGATGCCAGTACTGGTTTAGCCGTGCGGCGCTGCTGCGCCGCCGCGTCGCTGTCCATGACGGCGCGGCGTAACTCAGCGCCTTCCGGCGGTGATGGCTCTGCGCTCTCCAGTACCATCTTAGCGCGTGCGGCTTCTGCTCCCGCCAATGGCGCTGCACACTCGACTAGGAGGCTCCGGTTTTCTACTATAGCGGCCCAAGGTCAGAGATCCCCGACCGCCATCATCACTAGCCATTCTTGAGGCGCCTCAAAAATAGACTCCTCCCGGTCAGAGATCCCTCACCGCCATCATCACAAGCCATTCCTTCGTCCTCACTCGCCTCGCCACCTCCTCACACCCCTCCGCACCGCCCTGCCTTATCCCTCCTCCCGCCGCTCTCGCCTTGGCCAGTTTTTCCCCTTCGCTTCTTCGCACCCTCCCGCCTCGCCCTCTCCCCCGCCCTCTCCCCTCCTTTCCCCCCTCCTCTCTCCCCCATCCCCCCCCCTTCTCTCCTCCTTTCCCCAACCCTCCCCTTCCTCCCCCATCCCCCTCCCTTCTCTCCTCCTTTCCCCAACCCTCCCCTTCCTCCCCCCATTCATCCCCCTCCTCCAGTACCCCCTCGCCCCTCTCTCCCTCTCTCCCCTCAGCAAGCCCCGGGCAAGCGGCGACGGCGAAGGAATCAGAGGACGACACGTGGCAGATCAAGCTGCTGTACGATGGCGACTGCCCAATCTGCATGAGAGAGGTGGGCTGATAGGGGATGGAAGGGGAAGGGGTGAGGATGGGTGGGTAGGGGTGAGGATGGGTGGGTAGGGGTGAGGATGGGTGGGTAGGGGTGAGGTTGATCAAGCTGCTGTACGATGGCGACTGCCCGATCTGCGTGAGAGAGGTGAGCTGAGAGGGGATGGTTGAAAAGGGGCGCAGCTGAAGGGGGAGGGGGTGTGGATGGGTGGGAATGGGTGTGGTTGTGCCATGGGGCAGATTCACAGCGGGGAGCATCAGGGAGCAACATTGATTACAGGCAGGCAGCGCGGCATGCTCTCTCCGTGTTAACATAGCGGCTGGGGGCTACGGTGTGGATGAGACACCCGCCTCCCGCCCCTCAGGTTGATGCCCTTCAAGCCCGCCACAAGGAGCACTGCTCACACTCAAGTTCGTCGATACAGCAGCGGGGGGCGACAGTGCAGAGGAGAACGAAGCACCCCTCTCCATCCCTTCCCACCCCCTCAAAAATGGCGGCGGAGGGCGATGGGGCAGAGGAGAACGAAGCACGCCTTTCGCCTCTCCATCGCCCCTCGCCCTGCGGCCTCCTTTCAGGTTGACTTACTCCGAGGTCGCAACAAGGAGCACAGCATGCTCAAGATTGCCGACATAGCGGCGGAGGGCTACATCCCGGAGGAAAACGCATATCCACACCCCTCCCACCCCACCCCTCCCACCCCTCCCACCCCCCACACCCCTTCCATCCCTCCCCACCCTCCCAGTTTGTTTTGCTCCAAGGTCGCAGCAGGGAGCATGGCATGCTTAAGTTTTGTGGACGTAGCAGAGTTTGGTTCTTGAGAATTCTAAAAAACCTAATTCAGCAGGGAGCACGGCACGCTCAAGTTTTGTGGTTGTAGCAGTGGAGAGCTACCGCACGGAAGAGACACCCACCGTTTCAAACCTCCTCGTCCCTTCTCACCGCTTCCCACCCCTCAGGTTGACTTTCTGCAAGGTCGCAACAGGGAGCACGGCGCGCTCAAGTTCGTCGACATAGCAGCGGAGGGCTGCGGAGGGCTACAGTGTTGACGAGACATCCGCCTCCTCGCCCCTTTCCACCCCTTTCCACCCCTCAGGTTGACTTCCTCCAAGGTCGCAACCAGCAGCACGGCACGCTCAAGTTCGTGGACATAGCGGCGGAGGGCTACAGTGCGGAGGAGAACGCGGGGGTGTCATACGATGCGGCGATGGGGCAGATCCACGGGATCTATAGAGATGGCACCGTGGTCACTGGGGTTGAGGTGGGTTCACTGGGGTAGAGATAGGTGTGAGTGTAGCTCCATCGGTGAGTGTGTTAACCATCATCCCCTATGAGGCGTGTGGTAAGGCGTGTGGTAAGGCGTGTGGTAAGGCATGTGGTAAGGCGTGTGGTAAGGCGTGTGGTAAGGCGTGTGGTAAGGCGTGTGGTAAGGCGTGTGGTAAGGCGTGCGGTAAGGCGTGCGGTAAGGCGTGTGGTAAGGCGTGTGGGAAGGCGTGTGGTAAGGCGTGTGGTAAGGCGTGTGGGAAGGCGTGTGGTAAGGCGTGTGGTAAGGTGTGTGGTAAGGCGTGTGGGAAGGCGTGTGGTAAGGCGTGTGGTAAGGCGTGTGGTAAGGCTTGTAGTAAGGCATGTGGTAAGGCCTGTGGTAAGGCGTGTGGTAAGGTTGTGGTAAGGTATACTTGCCCGTCTAGGTGCGGAACCCATGCAATTCTGTTTTGAGACGTCTCGAAACGAATTTACTTTAACTGGGGTGGATGTGGGTGTGATTGTGTGGCAAGGTAACCTTGCGCGTCCACATGCGGTACCCTTAGGTGACTTTTGAGTCGACTCAGAAGTCACCTTTTGAGTGGACACAAAAGCCGCGTCCACATGCGGTACCCATGCCATGCCATGCACGTCTCTCTCTTTCCGTCTCTACTCGTTCCCTCACTGAGCGATCGCAGGCCTTTCGCAAGTACTATGAAGCTGTTGGTCTCGGGTGGGTGCATGCCATCACGGACGTCTCACCATAACGCTGAGCTCCAACACTACCAACACCCCCGCCTCTCCCTTTCC